CCGGGGCGGCGCTGCCGCTGCTGCACCCGCGCACGGGCCGCCTGGTGACGGTGTCGCGGGGCGGGCGCAGCGCGGCCCGCTCGCAGCCGGGCCAGGAGTTCAACCACGGGCTGGTGCTCAGCCGCGAGCCGCTCGCCCCCGGCGCCGTCTTCACGGTGCGCATCGATCGCAAGGTGAGCGGCGCGGCCGGGGACGCGGGGCGCGGGGCGGGCTGGCCGGAACAAAGGGGCGGCCCTTGCGGCGGCGATCCGCGGTGGAGCCGGCGGTCCCGCGGGGGGCCTGGGCAGGGGCGTCCCGGGGCAGGCGGCAGGTGAGTCGGCGCGTCTGCAGGGGCGGCGGGCGGGAGGGGGAGGGTGCTTCTGCGAGCCGCGGGCGATTGGGGTGCACAAGAGCAGGGGGGCTGGGGAGGTCTGGGAAGGGCCGGGGGCTTCCTGGGGGCGAGCCCCTGGCCGGCCCGCCTGCCCCCTGCGGACCTCAGGGCTTCGGGCGCAGCCTCCTCCGCAGGGACTGGATCGCGCTCTCTCGGAGCTGTGTGGGCATTTGACCCGTGCCTCCCTGGGCTGGCGATCACCCTTCCTCGTGTAAGGACGTGAGGGTTTCCTTCAAGGTGGAGGATGTAAGGTTTCAGCAGAGGAGGGGTCTCCTGAGCAAGGGCTAGGGACCCCCCTTGAGAAGGGGTCCCATCAGGACAAGGGGAAGGTGGAGCTGGGAAGAGGCAGGCAGGTGAGTAAGGGAAAGCATCGGGCCCGTGATGCGATGCCGTGGGCTTCACTCCTCGTGCGGGGTAAAGCGACAGTGACAAGGCTTGCCAAGCAGAAGGTTAGTCGCTCGCGCTAAGGACACGCTCAGATGCTGTGTCCCACCGTCTGCGTTGCCAGAAGAGAGCTGGAAGCGAGTGGAACGAACTCGTAAGGAGCAGACGCTATCGGTGTGCTCAGGGGAAGCATAGGATCTGTAGGAGAACGGCGCAACCAATGTATTTTATTTTAAATCAAAACTAAGTGGATGAAAAGCAGCCCAAAGAAGCTTCAGCAGGCGTAGTACTTTTGTGGTCCTCCTCAGTGGATGTTGGGGCAACGGGAAGGGAATTGGAAGGGGTGGAGCGCCCTGCAGGGGTGGATGGCTAGAGGCGAGAGAGGGGTGCCTGGTCCGGAAAAAGGGGAGGGGGCGTCACTTTGCACTCTCCCCCTCAGTACAAGAACTTGAATGAAGCTGCCGGGCGGCAGGAGGGAGACGGAGGAAAGGAAGGTCTTTTTCGTGCAGCTCAATTTAGACCAATCTGGGTGCCTTTAAAGGGAGTAGAAGGAGCTACTCCTGGAGTCGAACATTGTCTAGGGCTACTAGTTCTGGTGGTGATATCTGTCTTCCATACCAGAGGCGGCCTGCCTTTGTCCAGCAGTGGCTGGAGAAGTGGGGCAGGTAGCAGGGTGCTGGGGGCAGCTGGCTGGCCCCTGGGCAAACTGGTGTCCTGCAGCAGCAGGGGGTTGCAGCCGGCAGTCTTCATGGCCCTTCCGGCTCTACTGTGAGCCTGTGAGAAAGCTGGATGAAGGGACTATGTTCTTTCTTAGCTCACTTTTGACCTGCAGGGTCGTTGTCAAGACCTGCATGTCCACTGTGGGAAGCAATTAGGAGGGTGGCCCTTTGATCTTACCCAGCGATCCTGCAGTTAGTTAGTTAGTTAGTTAGTTGGCTAGTTTCGATGCCGCCCAACAAGAAAAGCCCACTGGGCATTTTGCGACATCGGGATGCCAATTTCCCTTGTCCAAGTTCATTCTAGAGCATTGACTGAGGCGCTTTTGAGCCCAGCTTTTCAATACTATCTTTGGCCCTCCATCTTTTGTTTTCCCAGAGGGCTAGAGAGCAGTTCTTCTGGAAAGCTCAGAATGCCAAAAAGAATTGGGGATGTGGGGAGAAAATGCACAGAGAAAACGGACGATATTTTTCCAGGCGCCCTGCAGCTGTGTTGGGCTGCAACCCAGCTGGCAGGGCCGCTCGCTGATCCGACACGCTTCGTGTGTCTGTGGCAGGGTGGTTTTCTCATGAAGCTTAGAAAGAGCCTTCCCGTGCCTCGGGATCGATTCAAAGGGGACCTGGAGCCTGCTGGCCCATGTGCCCCAGAAGACCGCCTTTCTCAAGGGAAGGCTGCGACTTGGGGCAGGGCCCCTGCTTGGCATGCAGGCTCAGCTGGCCAAGGACTGAAACCCCGAAGAGTCGGTGCCGCCTGGCAGAGTTGACAAGACTGGCGTAGATGGCGACAGTCTCCACCCAGGATAAGGCGGCCCAGATTCCAGGTCGGGAAGCACCAGCGCCTCCTTTGCGGAAATTAACCACCAGCGCGCCCATCTGGGTCTGTGTTTTTAAAATCCGCGGAAGTTCCGTCTGTGTGCAAAGCCAGGCTCCTTCCGCTGCTGCACCCAAGAAGCGTCTCGTGCTCAGCACCTTCTGTGCCACCACTCCCTCTCCTGCAGGTTAATTCCTGGAGCGGCTCCATCGAGATCGGGGTGACGGCCCTGGACCCGAACCACCTCGACTTCCCCAGCAGCGCCACCGGCCTCAAGGGGGGCTCCTGGATCATCTCGGGCTGCTCGGTGCTGCGGGACGGGCGCTCCATCTTGGAGGAGTATGGCCAAGACCTCGACCAGCTGGGCGAGGGCGACCGGGTGGGCATCCAGCGCACGGCCAACGGAGAACTGCGCCTCTGGGTCAACGGGCAGGACTGTGGTGTCGCGGCCACGGGCATCCCGCCCCGCGTCTGGGCTGTGGTGGACCTGTACGGCAAGTGCACCCAGATCACGGTGGTGCCCGGCAGTCCGGAGGAGCCCGACGAGGCGGTGGCCCGCGATGAAGGTACTCGGAGCTCCGGGGCGGGTGCAGGGGCTGCTTGGCGGTGGGCCGGGGACCAAACCCAGGCCCTGTCCGTGCGCCAAGCCTTTCCCTACCTGCCCCCCCCCATTGGACAGCATCTCCCACCCCCTCCAGTCAGCATGGCCACCGGGAGGGGGGGGGACCTGCCTGGAGGACACCAGGCGGATCTCGTTTTATGGCAGGAAGGAGATCTTCTGATGATCTGGGCTTCAGCTCCCAGCATTTCCAGTGGCTTGCCTTGCTGGCAGGGCTTCTGGGAGTGGAAGTCTCAACCGTGCGGAGACCTTCCTGCGGCCCCACACTGATCCAAAGAGCGACCTGTGAGCTGTGGAGCTGTGGGAAGACACGTCCGCTGGCTGTCTTGGGGGCAGGGCGGGAGGAAGGGCTCTCTCCGCACCCACTCCCCTCGCACGGCTGGCGGTGTCTCCCCCCTTTCCGCTTGGGCTGCCACTCTGGCAGTGTGGGCCACGCCTGCAGAATGTGTTCAGGGATAGGCTGGACGTGCACGTGGTGGGCATGTCGTGAGCGGAGCCGGCTGGAGCCGGGGTCAGACTAGGCGGCCCGGGAGGCCCCTCTGACCCACTCCATTTCTGTGTTTGTTCCTAACGTCCTTTGGGTGGCCCCTGTGGGCTTGCCAAGGGTTGGTTGGCTGGCTGGCCCTTGCTGGGGTTGGGCTGGGCTGAACGGCGAAGTGGTGTGGAAGCTGCTTTGCGCTGCTCTCTCCAGGGGCATGCAGCTTGTCTCGCTCGCCGAAGCTGTTGAGAGCTACTGCTCCTCCTCTCGGCTTGGGGCAGAGACCACGGCCTGGGTCATAGGGCTTCGTCCTTCAAAGGGCGTGGGGTGAACCATGCCAACCGTGAACGCATGGGAAGAACTCGGGGGTCCCTGCTGGGGGCGGCCCCGCTTCCAGGAGAGCGAACGCCCCGCCTCTCTCCTGCCCTTGTCTGCCACCAACCCGCCGCCTCCTCTGCTCTGCAGCTCTGGCCCTGCCTTGCAACCAGAATCGGCCGGATAAATTTCCCAACAGCCTGGAGTCGGAGAACGGTGAGCGCTCTCCTCGCCCTCCCCCGGGGACCTGGGGAGTGAGGGGCTCCCCTCCGGAGGGCAGGCCCCGCACGTGCGCCCCAGCCGGCTCTCACGGTGCCGGAAGGACAGGCTCGTATTGCTGCGACGTCGCGTCTCCGAGCGCCTTGCCCCTGTGGAGGCGTTCCCCCGCCCGCTCGCCCGGCATGGCCAAGGCCCAGCCCCCCAGAGGCCCGGCTCGTGGCGGAGGTCCCGAGCGGGCGGGATGGGGGCTTGGGCAGCCCCTCCCTGCCTCGGCACCCCCCCCCCCCCCCGGCCCCCCCCCCCCTGCGAGGCCTTCCGTCCCTGAGCCCCCGCCCCTCCGCTCGGCAGGCTTCTCCAGCATGGAGCTCTCCGAGGTGGTGAGCAACGCCATCCTGTCGGCCTACAACGGGAGCCTGCTGAACGTCAGCCTCGGCAGCCCCCCTGCGGACCCCGCCCCCTGTGGGGCGCCCCCCATGACCTCCAACGACGCCCTCCTCTTCCACGAGAAGTGCGGCACGCTCATCAAGCTGAGCAACAACAACAAGACGGCCGAGCGCAGGCGGCCGCTGGACGAGTTCAACAACGGCGTCGTCATGACCAACCGCCCGCTGAGGGACAACGAGATGTTTGAGGTGCGGAGGAGGGAGTGGAGGGCGGGCCAATGTCGCTGGACTCCAGTTCCCATCAGCCCCCTCCCGACACAGCGCCGTTGTTCTCACTGACCGGCCGGAACTGCTCTGCGGCGGAGGGGCTCTTTGCCAGCCGTGCCCTGGAGCTGCCGGGATCGGAACCCGAGGCTGCCGTGGGCACGCAAAGCGGGGACCGCCCCCCTTGAACCCGGTCCTTGCTCTTCCTCGGTGCAGCTGAATGCAATTCTAAACGGCTAGTGAAACGGAAGCCGTGAAGGCGTTAGAACAACACAGCCCGCTCCAGGTGTGTTGGACTACTGTTCCCACAACCCCCAGCCAGCATGCTGCTAATGATGGGGGTTGTAGTCCAGCACGTCTCAGAAGCTGCCTTCTGCCCCGGACCCTGAAATCCTGGAGAGAGAGCCGTGCCCACTCTCCGTGTTGACAAGAGCGAGCGAGTCGGACCCTGGGCGCTCCCTCCTGGACTTCAGGCATGAGTTTTCCCAACCCAACCTGGAGATGCTGCCTGGGACTGAACCTGACGGTCCACAGGACTGTCAGCATGGAAAATAGGGCACCACCCGTGCGCTGGGGGCCCCGGCAGATGGAGCCCCCGCTGCCGAAGAGAGTGCTCTGGGAGGGGCAGCATGTCGCACAGAAATCCCGGCATCTTGACTGCTGTCGCCTGCACCGCTGTGCAAAGGGCCAGGAGTGCCTTTGCCCTCGTGTGTTCCTGGCCAGCATCCCCCCAGTTCCGGATGTGTCGCAGGACAACTCCCAGCACCCCCTGGCCACGGAGGCCCGGCTGTTCCCCACATCTGGGAGGCACGGGCCTCGATGGAGTACCCGGGGGGAAGCAGGGTCCGCATCAGAGGGCAGCGGCGAAGGCAGAACGCTTTTTTCCCCTTCCAGATCCGGATTGACAAATTGGTGGATAAGTGGTCAGGATCCATAGAGATTGGGGTCACCACGCACAACCCCAACAACCTGGAGTACCCAGCCACCATGACCAACCTGCGCTCAGGTGATCCAGCGGGTGGGGGGCGCGAGGGGCAGGGCGAGGCTGCTTTGAACGAGGACTTGAAAAGTGCCAACGCGGGAGGCGTGTGGCCTGCAGTTTGGCATCCCTGGGCCCAGTTCCCCGGACTCTGGTCGGTTTTGTCCTGGCTGTGAGTCTGAGCGACAGCCAGCACGCCCAGCGTCGCCACGGTGATCCCCCGAATTGGGCCCTGCGTGGGTGCTGTGCAGGCAGCGCCCCTCCGCACGCCGCCCGTGCCACGGCGTGGCCGCCGGTTGCACGGTCTGCCTTCCGCAGGGACTCCCTCTCGGCTCGGATCTCCGCCAGGTGGGGCTGAGCGCGCGAGGAAGCCTGTGAGCGCGAGAGGGGCGGATCCTGCGGGGCTTTGTCCCCGCCCTGGTGCCGAGTGCCGGAAGGCCATCTGGAGGTGGTCCCGGTTCCACGGGGGCCGTCAGGCCTCACCCCGCACGTTCCCCGCCTAGGAACCATCATGATGAGCGGCTGCGGCATCCTGACCAACGGCAAGGGGACGCGCCGGGAGTACTGCGAGTTCAGCCTGGACGAGCTGCAGGTGAGCCGGCGCCCCTCGGCTGCCCCCCCCGTGGGCGCCCCTCCTCCTTCCCACACTGCTGCTCTGCTTCCGCAGGAAGGAGACCACATCGGCCTGACCAGGAAGTCCAACAACGCCCTCCACTTTTACATCAACGGCATCGACCAAGGTGAGTCGGCTCCCGGAGGCCGGATGCTCTCGCAGAGAGGCGGGCGAGACGTTCGGGAGGGGACGGGGGTCTCGCGGAGGGCTGGCACGGACCCTCCCAGGGCCGATCCCGAGGAGGCGCTCGTGCGCAGAAAGCGTGTGGGCAGTGGGAGGCAGAAGGTAAGCGCGACCGGGGCGGGGAGGAACGGAGAGGAAGGTGCACCAGCGCGGCCGGGAGCTGGCGCTACGTCGTGGTGTTTTCATCCCGCACAGCAGAGCAAGGGGCTCCTGAACCGCCCCACTGGTGGACAGCGAAGCAAGGCGATGCTCTGCCCGCAAAGGCACCGCATACAAGGAAAAAGGGATGGGGAGGGAGGAGGAAAAACAGTTGAGCCGCCTCTCAGCAGGCCGGAGGGGGGGGCTGCGCTCTCTCTCGTCTCCCGTGGGACAGCCTGCTGGCGGGGCAGCTGGGAGGGCAGGGCAGGGAGGGTTCGCCCCCTAGAAATGCCACGTGGAAAGGGGTCGGCAGAGGGATGCCGCACGAGCGGCCGCAGAGGGAGGGGATGGGCTGAGGCAGAGACTGAGCTTGCCCCGGCCTGTGGGTGCGGCTGGGATTCCAGCCAGGAGGTTCCTGCCACCCCCTCGCGTGCCGGGTGGGCGCGTGCCTCCTGCCCGTGGAGCCGGGGGCGGTTCACCCACGTCCCCCTCCCGTCCTCCCTGCCTTCCAGGTGTGGCGACCACCCTCACCCCGCTGGTGGTCTACGGGGTGGTGGACCTCTACGGCATGGCCGTGAAGGTCACCATCGTGCACAACCACAACCACAGCGACCGCCTGCGGCGCAACAACGCCATCATGAGGGCCCTGTCGCCGGACGTGGGGCGCCGCGCCATCGACGCCGCCGGGAACGAGCCGGAGCCGGAGCGCCTCCTCTTCCACCCCAACTGTGGGCAGAAGGCCGCCATCATCAACGAGGGACGGACGGCCCTGCGGCCCCAGTGCGTGCTTGGCGGGCCTCCTTCCTTCGGCCCAGTAGAGCGGGCTCCTCCTCAGTTGGTCTGGATGAGCAACCCGCCGTTCTGTCCCCCAATTTCCCTGTTTTGGGAGCTGCATAGCAGCTTCCCAGCCCATGGCCACCCTGCTGCTGCTTTTCTGCTTGTCCCTGTGCCTCCTGCATGATTGACTGTGTTATTTATTCATTTAAATCTTCTATACCGCTTTCTTACCAAATAGTCTCAGGATGGTTTGATGGGAAATCTTGTCCTGGTCAACTTGACTTCACTGCCCTTACGTAGCTCAGATTCCCTGTGTTCCGTTGCTCGCGCCTTCATCCTGAACAGTTGGGATGTTTGTGAATATTCCGTGACCCCCAGCACATGGGCCAAGTGACACGGCGAGGCTTGTGCGCCAGCGACGGCCCGTTCTTAGCCCAGCTGCATGGTGGGATTTGGTCCTGTGCCCTGGCCTTAGGGTCTGTCAGCCCGGGGGGGCGGGATAGGGCCATCGGCCGGCGACCCCTGAAGAGTAACGGCGCCCCGACGTCTCCCTGCGTGCAGTGCCACCGACGACTTCAACCACGGCGTGGTCCTGAGCAACCGGCCGCTGCGCAACGGCGAGGTCTTCCAGGTGCGCATCGACAAGATGGTGGACAAGTGGGCCGGCTCCATTGAGATCGGGGTCACCACCCACAACCCCACCTACCTGCAGCTGCCTTCCACCATGACCAACCTGCGCTCAGGTGAGAGCCCCGGGCCTCCCTCTGGCCGTGTGGGGACGGCGCTCCTCGGGGCCCGCCCTCCTCGCTCCCGGGCTGACCCTTCTGCGGAGTCTGACACTCCGGAGCAGCGGGTGGACCGGCGAGGCCCCGGCCGTGGCACGAGGGCCCGTGGGGTCAGGGTCTGGCTCGGTTTGGTGCGTCCCCACGGCTCCCTCGGGACGCCAGGCCCCCAGGCCCCGTGCCCTGCCGCCAGCGGCCTTGACGGGTGGCCACGCACCGCCTCGTCCGCTCCGCCGGACCCTGCCGCGGGGCTGCCTGCACCTGCTGGCTCCGTCTTCCCTCGGTCGTAAGAACATGGCCGTGGCTTCGCGGGAGGAGACTGCCGCGCGCTCTCCTTCAGTGCGGGCTTCCTCCAGCGGCCCGCCAGCTCCTTCCTGGGAAGTCAGAGCCCCCCCCCACCCCCCCAGCTCAGTCCCCGGTCGCTCCGGGCCAGGCTCGAGAGCCTGCCTGAGGCGCTGGGGGGCGGCCGGTGCCGTCCGTGTTGGCAGGGCTTGCCTCCGAGCCGGCCTGTGCCATCCCTCCAGCCCGCGAACCCTGGTGGGCCGTGGTGCCCGGGGGCTCCGGGCCCCTCTTGCTCCTGCCCCCGCAGCTTGTCTCCACCCGTGGCTGGGCTGGTCCCGGTGGGAGCTCCCTCCAACGAAGGGGCAGGGCCGCATGTGGGCCCCCGCGGCGCCCGTGCGCGTCGAAGCATGGCAGGGCCCGCCTGAGCACCGTTTCTCGCCTCGTCTCCGCCAGGCACCTGGATGATGACGGGCAACGGCGTGATGCACAACGGAACCACCATCCTGGACGAGTACGGCCACAACCTGGACCGCCTGAAGGTGCGCTCGCGGGACGCGGGGGGGCGGCGGGGGGAGAAGGGGCTGCCGGGCAGGGCTGCTGGCGAGTTTGCTCCGGCACAGAGTGCGCCGGAGAGGGAGAACCGCGAGAGGGGAGGCGGGAAGGGGCTGCCCACGCCCGAGCGCTGTCGGGGGGACGCTGGGCTGTGCTTCCTGCCTCGCTCACCGCACGGCTTTGGGCCAGTCACGGACTCTGCCTGTCCTCCTCACGGGGCCGTTTTCTGGACGCACTGGAGGGAGGGAGGGGTTGTGCCCCTCGTCTTCGCTTCCTGCAGGAAAGCTGTGGAATAGAAATGAAGTATTTTGCAAGGGCAGGGGAGCAGCAGGTAGCGTCTCTCAGAGCACCTGGAGAGCACAAGGTTCCGCAGCCGCTTTCTGGGGCAGGGATGGGGGCAGGGGGCAGGAGCTCTCCTGAGGCAAGGGCAGGACTGAGGAGCAGGGGAAGCCGAGCTGCGCCGGGGGGCCTTGAGGGTGGAAGACGGGATCCACAGCAGGGGCAGGGCTGCAGACGGGGAGGGCATGTTCCAGAATCCTCACAGCTGGCTCTAAACGGGGGCCCCTCGGCCAGTGGCCCGAAAACGAGGCTCAGGTCGGCGTCCCTGGGAGGCTGGAGGCCACGATCCCCGCGGGAGAGGCTGCCTGATCTGTCCCGCAAGCCCGAACCGCGGGGTCTTGGGTCGCTCCGAAATCGGCACTGGAGATGCCACCAGACCCGAGGGGGCAGCTTCTCTGGCTGGTTTGCACCTCCTCCCTGACGCCCACGGGAATGACGGAGAGCCTTCCTCCTCCTCCTCCTCCTCTCCCCGCAGGCGGGTGACACGGTGGGGGTGGTGCGCAAGGAGGACGGGACGCTGCACTTCTTCGTGAACGGGGTGGCGCAGGGCCCGGCTGCGTGGAACGTCCCGCCGAACATCCACGCCGTGGTGGACCTGTATGGGCAGGCGGCCCAGGCAACCGTCGTGGACGACGCAGGTGATTGGCGGGCGGGGGGCACGCGGGGGGGCTGCAGCGAGTGACCGGCCCTGGGCCGGCCCGGCCCTTCCTCGGGTTTCTGCCCTGGGCTTTGCCAAAGTACGAGAAGAAGCATCGCCCGCCGTCTCCTGTGCTCTCTGATCAGTCCCGCTGTGGGATGCGAGTCGTGCGTCTCCCGGCCCCCGGATTCCCACTGCGCTGGTTGTGCGATGGTGTGTGCGTGGCTCAGGGCAGAAGAGGCAGGGGCAAATCCTGTGCTCGTCCTCTCCTCCAGAGAGCCCCGGCGAAGCGAGGGCAGGAGCCGCATCTGGCTGCGTCCGGCAGTTGCGGGGCGTTTTAGCAGAGTCCGTCGGGGGGGCCCCTGACCCCACTGCTCTCGTAAAACAAGCGGCGGTTCTTCTGGCACGGAACCAGGGGGATGCCGAGCACGTGTGAACGGGCGGCTCACCTCTCTGCACGTTTGCAAAGAGAAGAAACCGCATTTCCTAACGATGTGGAATTGCAGTGTCAGTTACTATCGCTATAAAGGTGCCTTGGATGCCATTCTGAGCAATAGACATTCAAAGCATCTTGAACAGAGCTTAAAACTGAACCATTTAAACGTATTAGGACAGCGCCGAACAGCGAGGAAAGAACACGGCCTGCTAAAATAGCTGGCGATTAAGCAGCCCATTCAAAGCCTGGGTGGGAGGAAAGTCTCGGGTGGTGGGTGGTGCCGGGTGGGCGTCCCCTGGGGATGCGTTCTGTCGTGGCTGCGGAGCACATGGGGGCCCTCGGGCTTCTTGGGGTGGCCCCGTGGAAACGGGCCACTTCCGAACCACTTCCTGCCCCTTGAAACCCCGTCATAGGATGCACAGGCAGAGCGTGGCGGGGCGGGTGCTGGAGGCGGCCCTCCCCGAGCCCGGGGCTGAAGTTCTGCCCCACTGCTGTGCTCAGCCGGCCGTGGGGGGAGCCCGCTGTCCGACCGCTCGGGGCAGCCACACTCCTGCCCGCTCGCCCGCCCTGAATGTCTCTGGCCGCCCTGCTTGCTCCCCAGACCTGCTCCCGCTGCCAGACGACCTCTCGGAGGGCAACAACCAGCTGTCCCCCAGCAGCCCCTCCTCGGTGGCCTCGGGGAGCGACCTGCGCTTCCACCAGCTGCACGGCAGCAACGCCGTCATCACCAACGGCGGGCGCACGGCCCTGCGCCAGAACTGCCGCAGCGAGTTCAACGACGCCATCGTCATCTCCAGCCGGTCAGTGCTTGCCTGGGGGCCGGCCTCTGTGCGCTTCTGTGCCCGGAACCCGCGCGGCCGACGGGACGTCCAGCAGACTGGAGGGAGCTGGCCTCGCGGCGGCGGCGGCTCCTTCCCCGTCTGCCGCCGGCCTCTCCCTTGATCGGCAGGGGCCTGCCAGCTCTCGGCCTCTGGGTGAGAGGCAGCCGCTGTGCCCGTGTGCCAGGCTGACGCAGCCCTTTCCAGCCTTCGCACAGACGCCCTGCCCTGCCCTGCTGGAGGGGTGGGGGGCCTGATGGACACCCCGGGAGGCCCAGCGACGGGTGGCTATCTTGCCCCGCACCCTCCTGCCCAGCTGCGGGGTGAGCCCTGGGGCCACGTCCTCCGCTGGGCCGAGCCGCGAGGCCCTGTGGCCGTGCTGACGCCCCTCCTGCTGCCTCCTTGCAGGCCACTCCGCGACGGGGAGCTCTTTGAGATCGTGATCCAGAAGATGGTGGATCGCTGGTCCGGTTCCATCGAAGCAGGTGGGAGGTGGAGAGGGTGGGGCGGGCGGGCGGGCTGGCTTGGGCTTGTGCAGTGGGGGCCCCTCACCGCCGCCCCCCCTGCCCTCTCCAGGGGTCACGGCCATCCGTCCCGAGGACCTGGAGTTCCCCAACACGATGACGGACATCGATTACGACACGTGGATGCTCAGGTGAGGCGGGAGGGTCTCGCTGGAGGGCGGCGGGTCGGAGGGAGCGAGGTGAGCGGTTGGGGGGCCGGGGCAGCCTTCCCAGGCGGGACTGCTGTGCGTCGCTGGGGGGGCGCGTCCCGTGCAGGTGCTCCCTCCGTTAGGGCGTCCCTTTGGCGGCGCCAGAGGAGCCTGCGTCCTCCGGGACGGATCCGAGGGCTGCGGAGCGAGAGGAGGAGCAGAGCGAGGCACCGCCTCTCCTGAGGCACCGCGCTGGCATCCGGTCTCCATGTGGGGCTTCTTCACGCAGGCCCAGGGATGCGGGGGCCGTGCGGGCCGAACTTCCCCGCGGCAGCTCTCTCCCGGGGGCTCGTGTGTGGGCAGGCGCGGGTGTGCCGAACGAGGGCGGCCTCCGCCCCCCAGTGCCGCAGCCTCGCCCTGGGCTAGCTCATGTGCGGTGAGCCATCCAGGCACGCGGACCGGCCTGCGGCGGAGACCCCCAGGCGTTCCTGCGGGGCGGGGGTCTCGCTGACCCCGAGCTGCCCGGGCCCCGTGTCGCCCGGGCCTCGCGGGCGGCCTTGCTCCTCGCCGGGGATCCGGCTGCCGGGGGTGGCGGAGCGAGAGCGCCATGTCTTGAGTGCGGAGCAGGAGTGGGGAGAGGAGAGGAGAGCGAGCCGCTGCTTCCACTCGGTGCGCCAGCCGCGCGCCGGCCCTTCGTCGGGCGCTGCGCCACCTTGTGCCGCCTTTGTGAGCGGGGAATGCCTTCTTCCGGAGCGCGGAGGCCGCTCTGGCGGAGCAGTGGCTGAGGCCCCCCCGGCGGAACAATCGCGCCACCGGCGCCCCTCTCCCCCCAGCGGCACGGCCATCATGCAGGACGGCAACACGCTGCGCAACAACTACGGCTGCGACCTGGACTCGCTGACCACGGGCTCGCGCATCGGCATGATGCGCACGGCCAAGGGCGACCTGCACTACTTCATCAACGGCGTGGACCAGGGGGTGGCCTGCTCGGGGCTGCCGCCGGGAAAGGGTACGCGGGGGGGGCGGCGGCCCTCCGGCTGCCCAGGCCTCGGGGGGGGCTTCTCGGTGGGCCCGGGGGCTGCGGCTGGGCAGCGGAAGGCGGGGCGGGGGCAGGAGGCGGAGAAGTGGCGTCAGGCTTGCCCTTGGCGGGACGGCCAGGAGGCCCGGTGGGGCGGGGTGGGGTGGGGTTCCCCTCGTGCCCTGCTTGTGTGCGCCACCGGGGCCACTCCGGAGGGACGGAAGACGGTGCGAGTGCGACCATGGCTGTCCTCCCCCCAGCGGGCTCCTGGCGACAGGCTGTGTCCTCTGAGAGGGTGCAGGAACACGTCCAGCCTGCGGAGAAGCCATGGGAGCCCCAGTTTCGGGGTCAGAGGCGAGGAGGGTGGGGTGAAGGGTGAGGCTGAGGCAGCAGGGATGAGAGAGAGGGGAGAGGCGTTTGAGCCTCGGGGGGGGCTGGGGGGAGCACCTTCTTGAAGCCAGGGAACCCTCGCGCAACGGGGGAGCGGCAGGGCCTTCTGGGTCTGGCCCCCAGGCCCGGGTCCCACGTCCTCGCTTTCTGGAGAGGGCCCAGCTGGGGTGCGAAGGGCTGCTCCGGGGCGGCACCTCACCCGGTCTCTTCCACCCGCTTTCCCCCTTCTCCCGGCGGGCGCAGAGGTCTATGCCGTGGTGGACCTGTACGGCCAGTGCGTCCAGGTGTCCATCACCAGCGCCACGGGGCCGATGGACAACAGCCTCTCCACCAGCAACATCACGGAGAAGTCCTTCCCCATCCACTCCCCAGGTGAGAGCCCGCCGGCCGGGGCTCCCCTGCCCCCCTTCCCTCCGAGGCGGCTGCCTAGCCGCCCCTGCCCCCCGGGGCAGAGCGGGCGCTGACGCTCTTCCCCCTTTCAGTGCCCGGGGTGACCCACCGCTTCCACAGCAGCTGCGGCAAGAACGTGGCCTTCCAGGACGACGGGTGCCGGGCCACGCGGGTGGCCAGCTTCTGTCACGGCATCGTCTTCAGCATGAAGGAGCTGAAGACGGACGAGATCTTTGAGGTGCGAGCGGCGTGCGCGCGGCCACGGGCCCCCGGGTCGGTCGCGTGCCGTGGGGCCTCTGGAAAGGGACGGGGGTGGAACCGCCCGGCTCCCAGCGGCTTTCTGCACATCTGTGGCTGAGCGGGGGGAGGGCCCTGTCTGGCCCTGTGCCGCCCCAGAAGCTGCCGAGCCGGAGGGAAGATGCCGACGTGCGGGGCGCCGACCCCGGACCGTTCCGTCTCCCCACGGGGAAGACCTGCGAGCTCAGGGGCCGCTTGGCTCAGGAGAGCAGAGCGAGGCGGCGTTGGGGCTCGTGGCTGAGCACGCTCTGGAGACGCCCCCCTCCCTCTCTCCCGACATCCGAACTGGGGATGGGGGTCCACCTGCCAAGCTTGACTGGCGGGAGATTCGGGACGGGAGGGAGGGAGTCTGTCCGTCCGGCCGGCCCTCCTTCACCCACTGCAGTTGAACTGAAGAAGGCAGCGCTGCTTGTAAAACAGGGACAGGCAGCCAAGTCCTTTGAATCGCAACTCCCATCATCCCCACTGTGTGATGGCCTGCCCTTGCGGAGGGTGGAGTTGTGTGTGACATCCGGAGAGGCACAGGCTGCCTGCCCTGCTCTTCACGATGGGCTGGACTTGACGTGCCCAACCGGGTGCCCCCCAGAGAGGCCGAATTGCTGTTGGGAGTGATGGGCAGGGTAGTTCGACCCATCTGGAGGGCATCCAGTTGTAAGGGGGCGTTAGACAGCTTTGTGGGGCAGGATTGGCTGCTAGTCGCATTGCCGCCATCAGAGGCAGCACCCCCCCCGCCTAGTTTCCGGGGAGCACGAGAGGGGCTGCTCTTGCGCTCGTGTCCAGGTTGCCCCCCCGATGAGCGCTGAAGGAAACGGGAGCCCCCTTGGGGGCCTTCCGTTCTTTTAAGAAGGGGCAGCCTTTCGGGCAGGGCGGGGAACCGGTTGGGGTGGGGCTCAATCGCTCCCCCAGGCCTGCTGGCATCTTTGGGTGTGCTGGGCCTCGCCCCACCCACCCCGCACCCCCTTTTTCCGTGCGGCAGGGAAGCGCAGGATGCCCCGCACTCTCCCGCTGCCCCAGTTCGGAGAGCATCGCGCCTGCTGTGGCGCAGCCCCACATTCTCCGGTGGAAGACACGGGGGGAGGGCGGCATTGTCCGGGGCAATGGAGGGCGGCATTCTCCCGGAGGAGCCGCCCCCTGTCCCGGGAGCCAGGGCGGAGGCAGGTTCTCTGCCGTGCCGCCCGCGCTGCTCCCAGTAAGAAGCCCCCCCGCGCCTCCCGCCGCAGGTGAAGATCGAGGAGATGGACGAGAAGTGGTCGGGGACCGTGCACATCGGCCTGACCACGCTGCTGCCCCTGGACGCCCCCCACACGGTCGCGGGGCTGCCCCCCTCCGTGCTGGAGCTGCGCGCCAAGGTGACGTGGCTGGTGACGGGCTCCGAGGTGCACCGCAACGGCGTCCTCCAGCGGCAGAACTACGGCTGCTCCCTGGAGCGCCTCGGGGTGAGTCCGGGTGAGGGCCGGGGGGCCGTCCCCTGGGACCGGGCCGAGCTCATCCGGACCGGGGCGGAGCATTTCTCTGCGTCTCAGATGCTCCGGATCGGGGTCGCTGTGGCAGCCCGTCAGCGTGTCCCTGAACCGGCCGTCCTCTCGCCCCGCGGGCCACGGCTCCTGTCGGCCCGCGGCTGCACAAGCGCCCATGCGCCTCAGCAGCACTGCCCGTGGACTGCTCAAAAGCGCCCGAGTCCGTGCAAGGCGCTGCGTCACCCAGCGCTTACTTTATACGTTCAGACTACCTCTTGCAGGTCGAAGGGGCAAAGCCGGCGAGCAGACTTGGGCTGCTGCCAGAGGCAGGCATGGGGCGAAGCCGCTCCGGCCCCTGCCGTGGGGGGAGCCCACTCCGTTCCCCAAAAGGGGGCTGCAGCGGGGCGAGGCAGCCGTCCGGGGCATCCCCCCAAGCTCTACCCTCTTCGGCCTGAAGCAGTGCCGCCTCAGGTCTCCGTTCTGGCCGGAGGTGTCTGTCTCCTGGGGACCGAAGAGGTTCAGAAGTACAGGAACAGAGCGAGTCAGGAGGGGCCTCCCGGGCCATCTAGTCTGACCCCCGGCTCCAGCCGGCTCTGCTCAAGACATGCCCACCATGTGCACGTCCAGCCTGTCCTTGAACACCCGCACTGATGGGGCCTCAACCACCTCCCAGGGAAGCCCGTTCCACACCCTCGGGGCCCTAACCGTCAGGAAGTGCTTCCTGGCATCTAAATGGCAGGCTTCAGCCATGCAGGCGCAGTGTAATTACTTAGAATTAATTAGTGCAGTTTGAAAACAATCCCATCTGGGGCGCACCCCCCCACAAGGGTCTCCTCCGAAGGCTGCCGGGTGTCAGGTTGCGGCGCTACAGCGGTGGCAGGCGCCCATCCCGTGCCGGGTGCGCCGTGCTGGGGGCTGTTGGGTTTCCTCCCGCGGGTTCGTGCCCCGATTTATTTACGAGGTTCCAGCAGTCTTGCTTCAGCAGGACAGAAAAGGAGGCTCCCGTGGCAGTTTCCAGCCAGTCGGGACCCCAAAATGCAGCAGAGGGAGAATCCACAAGGCAAAAAGGCAGGGCAGGTGTTGCAATACCTGGAACAGCCGGACGAGGTTTCCCCTCGGAAGTGAGAGCTGCCCACGTGGCCGTGGCGGCACTGCAGACTTTTGCCCGGCGCCCCGGGGGCAAGAGGAGGCACCCAGGGCGCTTCCTGGCACAGGGAGGCCCATCGGGGAAGCTCCGTGGCTGGGGACGTTCCCCCGGGCCTCTGCTGCCGGCGCCTGCAGGCAGCCACGGGCCGGCTGTGATTTGTGTCTGAGAGGACTGAGCGGGCAGCGGCCCTCCCCTCAGCGCCTGTCAGGGACTGGGACGGATCCAGCCTTGCACGCAGGACTGGCCCAGCTCGTCCCCCACGGCTCCCCCGAGCAGGACCCCTCGCTGCAGAGGCCCCTGGCCTCCGGAGCAGGTCGGGGGAGGAAGTGCAGAGCGGGAGGTCTGTCGCGCCGGAGGAACGGCGCAGCTGGACGCGACCCGATGCGTGTTCCCGGCTCCCGTGGTTCAGAGCAGCCCCCGAGGGCTCCTCCCGGCCCATGGCCCCCCAGGACCGGGTCCGCCCTGCCGAAGGCCACACCATCCGCCTCGCAGCGGCCGGGAGGGCGAGCGGGGCCTTGGCCGCTGGGCAACGCATGCGGCTCTCTTCCAGGTGGGGAGCCGGGTGGGCGTGAGGCGGGGCGCCGATGACACCATGCACATCCTGATCGACGGCGAGGACATGGGGCCGGCGGCGACGGGCGTGGCCAAGGTAGGGGGCGATGCCCGGCCCCACGGCCCGCCCGGGGCTTGGGGAGCCGTCCGCGAGTCTGGGAAGGGGAGGCCTGCCGGGGACGCAGGTCCCTCGGGCCAGCGCTCCCCCGCCGCGTGCGTGTGCAGCGTCCCGTCTCTGCTCCCCAGAACGTGTACGTGGTGCTGGACCTCTACGGCCGCGTGACCGCCGTCTCCATCGTCAGCTCCACCGCGCTGGAAGAGGCCGACGGCACCAAGCCGCCCTCGATCACCTCGGAGCCCTACAGCGAGGAGGAGGAGGAAGAGGAGGCCACGCCGGTGGGTGCCTGGGAGGAAGCATTCCCGGGGTGGGCAGGCCCCGTCCCCTCCCCTCCCCTCCCGTCCCGTCCCTTGCAGCGCCCCGATGTGACCCCGGCACGGATGGGGTGATGCAAAACGTGCCGCCCGCATTTGACTGAAAGCACGGGCTTACGGCAGAAGAGGCGCGCGGTCAAGAGATGCCGGCGGCCACGGCACCTTGCTCAGAAGCACGCCTGGAGCCCTGAAGAGGCACTGCAGCCCCCGGCGGCCTTCCAAAGGGCTGATTCCCCTTTGGCAGTGGCCTGAGGACGGCGGCTTCTTCCGGTTAACAGGGGCAGAAAGCCCCGGGGCCCAGTAGGGCTCCCCCTTGACCGTCACAAACACGGCCCTTCTCCTGCTGCAAAGGCTTCTGGGTAGCAGCTGCTCGTCGTGAGAGACGAAGGCCTCGATGGGGACAGACCAAGAAATTGGGTGACACAGTGAAAATTGGCCATTTCTCTCCCCTCCTGATACAAACTTTTCCTTTAAAAATCCCTAAGAAAAAAGGGGGGTATTTTTTAGAAAAATATTGTAATGATGAGGGATTTTCTTCCCCCCCCCCCCCCCCCGCTTCCCATCTCTCTTGATAGACCTTTCTGGTCAGTGTGAGCGGCTACACAGGAAGCCTCTTCCCCACCCAGCCACCCCCTCTGGGTCACCCATACAAAGATGGGAGGATTGGTGTTCCCAGTTCCAATTCCCAGAGGAATTCTCTAGCCCAGCTGTGGGACGGGGCTGGAGCGGGAGGCATCCCTTTTTCTCCCAAGCTTCTCGCTGTCGCCTTGGTTTTGCTGCATTGTTCTGTATTTCTATTTCTGCATGGCGGCTGCTGTTGTTTTGTCTCGCCGCCCTTCACGCTTTGTGTCGCCTGCTGTTGTTTTTGAATAACTTGTGCTTTGGTGGCTTCCTCAGAAGGTCTGTGTGACAGGCAGCCAAAAAATCTGTGCCAGGTTAGGCATTCAGCTTTACCTTTGAAAAGTCACTAGTCCTCAAGGCAGCCGTCTCCACCCTGGTGCTCTCCCGATGCGTTGGAGTAGAGCGTGGCTCAACACGCCTGAAGGGAAGTTGGTTGGAGAAACTGCCTTGATGGCTGTGCAGTGTCTGACGAAAGAGGAAGAAGCTCAGCAGGCATTCCAGGGCTGGGGAAAAGAGGCCTCCAGGAGGCTGGAATTTCGGTCCAGTGAAAACACCCCCCCCCCCCGCCAACCCCGGCACAAGCCAGCCCTTCCTTTCCTCACGCAAATGCCTTCTGCCTCCCAGTGCGAGAGCGACGTGCCGGCCGTGACCTCCGCGATGGAGTTCCTGGAGAACCACGGCAAGAACATCCTGCTCTCGAACGGCAACCTGACGGCCACCCGCGTCTCCAGCTACAACCAGGGCATCGTGGTCGTGGCGCAGCCTCTGCCTCCGCAGCGGCTCTTCCAGGTGCGGCCGGGCCGGGGGCCCCCTCTCTGGCCAGGGCCCACCGGGGTTCCTCTCCCAGGAGGAGAGGCCTCAAGACCCTGTTCAGCCCCTTCCTCAGTGGCCTGGAGGAGGGGGCAACCAGTCTGCTGACCGAGTGGGGGCGGTGGTCACAACTGGGGAGCAGGGACTCCGGATCCAAAAGAATCTGGACAGGCTGTGGAAGTGGGCGGGGGACAACAGGATGGCGTTCAATGCGGATAAGTGCAAGGTCTTGCGCTTGGGACACAGGAATACCCAACCATCGAAACCATGCCGGGACACCTCGTTTTTCTAACCCTAACCCTACCCTGGTGCACACCCCTAACCCTAATAGAGGGCAAAAGTTCCATTGCAAAGAGGGCGATATTGAAAAAGTCATCCTTGAGTAGCTTTTCCTGCGCAGCTCATCATTTCTGCCCATTCTGAACACGTTCCAACCATCAAAACCTTGCCAGGACAACTCATTTTCCTAACCCTAACCCTACCCTGGGGCCCACCCCTAACCCTAATATAGGGCTAGAGTTCCATTGAAAATAATGCAATTTTCAAAACGCCTTCCTTGAGTAGCTTTTTCTGCGCAGCTCATCATTTCTGCCCATTCTGAACACGTTCCAACCATAAAAACCAAGCCAGGACACCTCATTTTTCTAACCCTAACCCTACCCTGGTGCACACGCCTAACCCTAATATAGGGCTGAGGTTCCACTGAAAATAGGGCAATTTCGAAAAAGCCGTCCTGGAGTAGCTTTTTCTGCACAGCTCATCATTTCTGCCCATTCTAAACACATTCCAACCATCAAAACCATGCCGGGACACCTCGTTTTTCTAACCCTAACCCTACTCTGGTGTGCACCCCTAACCCTGATAGAGGGGTAAAGTTCCATTGAAAAGAGAAGGATTTTGGAAAAGCCTTCCTTGAGTAAATTTTCCTGCACAGCTAAACATTTCTGCCCACTCTGAACACATTCCAACCCTCAACATCATGCCGGGACACCTCATTTTCCCAACCCTAACCCAGTGATGGTGAACCTTTAGGGACCAAGTGCCCAAACTGCAACCCAAAATCCACTTATTTACTGCAAAGTGCCAACACTGCAATAAAACCTGAACACTGAGGTTTTAGTTTAGAAAAAACACCTCACAGCCAGGCCAAGCAAAGATATCTATCCATCCATCCATCCTTGGCAGCGCACTGACCGGCCATGCAAAAGCTCGGACGAGTTGCAGCTAATGATTCGCGGCTCGTGACGTCATCACCTGGCGCCGCTGCTCCTTTGCGCACGGCCCCTGTGTGCGCTGTTACCTGATGCTCAGCAGCTGGGGCGGTGCTGGGGTGACTGGGCTCGCGTGCCGACAGAGAGGGCTCTGCGCCCCCCCTTTGGCATGCGTGCCGTAGGTTCGCCACCACTGCCCTAGGATACGGAAGGGGCTTCCCTGGGAGGTGTCGGAGGTCCCGTCAGTGAGGGCACTCAAGGAAGGATTGGGCACCCACCTACTGGGGATTACATGAGCGGAGCCCGGGGTCAGACTAGATGGCCCGGGAGGTCCCTTCTGACTCGCAGTGTTCCTGTCTAAAGGAAAGCACAGCATGGGTGGGGATGGGAACTCCTGGGACACCTTGAAGCGGAAGCGGATGGGTTTGGCGGGCACCCCCCGCCATGGGCAGCGGCAGCAGGGGGTCCTTCCCCGGTGCCTCACCCAAGTCGCCCCCCTGCTGCTGCTGCTGCTGCTGCTGCTTCAGCGGCGCCCGGCCGTCGCCCGGGTCCTGGAACTGGCTCTTGCAAAGGGGGCTCGGAAGGGAGGCCTGGCTGCCCACGGCGTCCCGCCGAAAGGGGATCAGCGGCACCGGCTCTGCTTGGCCGCTGCCCTTGACCTTATGCGGGGAGCTTGCCTGCGGCCGTGTGGGGAGGGACCTGCGAGGAAGACGCCCGCCCCCGCTGCAGGATCCGGGGCCGTGCGTGGGGGAGCTCCGGGGGCGCGGCGCGCTGCTCTCCTCCCCTCTCCCAGCAAGGACCCCCTGCTCACGCCTCTCCGCCTGTGCAGTTCCAGATAGATTCCCTGAACCAGCAGTGGACCTCCTCGCTCTCGCTGGGGGTGATCGGCAGCTCCCCCGAGCGGCTCAACTTCCCGGCCACGGCCTGCTCCCTCAAGCGCTCCACGTGGCTGCTGCAGCGGGACTCTGTCTTCCACAACTCCCTCAAGGTGAGAGCAGCGGGGCCGGGCCGGGCCCTCCCCTCCCCACATGGCCCCCTTTCTCACCTCCCGTCCCCAGATCCGCGTAGCCGGAGAGGAAACCTGGGAAGAGCGCAGACCCTTTCCGCCTCGATTTCCCCGTTCTGCCTGTCCCGAGCAGGCGAGCTGCTTTCTTGGGACAGAGGAAAATTTCCTCTGAGAGGCCTCCCTCCTCCCTCCAGTCCACTAGCCACAAACGTGCGACACTGGTCCATACTGGTAAATGAGCAGAGCGAAACTTCTGGGAACTGGGTGGCTTGAGGAGCCCTCGACTGAAACCGATTGTCAGTCAGTCTGGCGTGCTGGTTCAGCATGGGGGCCCCGGATGCGGGATCAGCCACGAAGCTGATTGGGCGGCTCCGGGCCAGTCACAGACTCTCAGTCTGGCCTACCTCGCAGGGTTCTCGTGAGGGCAGAACGGAGAGAACGCCTTGTCAGCCACCTTGGGTTCCCGAGAAGAGGGAGAAAGGCAGGGCATGAACCCTGGGTGGCACCGAAGGGGATTATAATGTTGACAAGAGCAACTAATATTACATCTCAGGTGCCGAGCTTGTGGCAGGCTCGCCTGCCCGCTGGCACGTTTTGCCCTCGATTCAAAACTGATTATATGCAGCAAAAGCCAGTGTGTGCTTTCTTCTCTCCCAGGAGAGGTTTGCCTGGTGCTGTCACTGCATTCTTTTTGGCACCAGGCTAAAACTTTTTAATTGTCCCAATGTTTAAAGATCTGACTGTTTTAATTGGGGTTTAATTGTCAGTTGAATTTTTTAGGATGCTGTGTTTTATTTTACATTGTTGTTCTGTTAAACCATCCCGAGACGTTGGTTTTTAAATTTATAAATACATGGATGGATGCTTGGATGGATGGTTGGGGGGTTCTGTGGGTGCATATTTTAATTGACATGTGTAATACTTTCTTCGTGACACTAAAAACAGAAGAAAAGCCCTGTTGGTGGGCTGGGCCAGAGCTCCACCCAACTGCCTGCAGGCCGTGGCCCGTTGCGCATTCTTAACGGGCGCATGCTGTTGTTTAAATTGATTAAAGGGGGAAACGGCCCCCTGACCCGTTTCGATGTGGCGAGCCCTGTCCATGAGCAGGTGCCCCTCACGCCGCTCGCGTCCCCCCTCTGCCGCAGATCTGTGAGAACTACGGCCCCAACCTGGACACCTGCCCGGAGGGGACGGTGCTGGGCCTCCTGGTGGACGCCGGCGGCTGCCTCCACCTCTTCGTCAACGGGATGGACCAGGGCGCGGCCGCGCAGGACATCCCGCAGCCCTGCCACATCCTCATCGACCTGTACGGGCAGTGCGAGCAGGTGGGTGCCGGGGGGGCTTTCCCTCGCGGGGGGCTGGGCGCCCCCTTCCCGGGCGCCCACCGTGCTCTCTGTTGCCGCCCTCTTCCCAGGTGTCCATCGTGACCAACGGCACTCCGGCGGTGGGAGCAGAGGGCGCGGACCCCCATGGCCAGGGAGACATGGAGAAGGCCGACGTGGTGGATGGTAGGGCAGCTCCGCCCCCTCAGTTTTCGGGGTGGGGGGCTTGTGCCCCGGGCCCCTCTCCCCCTCCCCCTCCGAGGCTGAGTCTGAGGCCGGGGCTCCGTCGCACAGTCCGCCTGCTTTGTGGCTCTTGGGACGCTCGGAAAACGATGCTCCTTCGGCCGCCATCGCGCCCGAGAGCCCATGAGGGTGGGCCGTTTGTGCTCGGCAATAGCCCTGCGCGGGGGTCTCCGCCCCCCCCAAGCGCTCCCCTTCCTCACCCCAGGGATCAAGGAGAGCGTGTGCTGGACCCCCCCTGTGGACCTGAACACCATGAAGACCTGCGAGTACCACGCGCTCTGCGCGCGCTTCAAAGACCTGCTCCTCCTGCCAGGTGAGCCCCGGGCAGGGACCCCCGCTTCTGCCAGCCCCGTTGGCTCCGTTCCGCTCGTGGCTGCCTTTCCAGGAGCTGGAGGGCGAGCATCCCGTGCGCAGCCCGGGAAAGGTGGCCCTGCGCCCCCTGCAGTGTAGCGGAGCCTTCCCGAAAGAGCCTCTCAGGGGAGTCTTGGGACCCAAACGGGTCAGGGCCTGAGATGCCGCGACAGGTTAAAAGTGGCTGCGGGCAGCAGCGGCCGTGCGGGAAGCCCACCTGGGTCCATCCAGCCCAGGACGCTCAACACGCGCCGGCGGTGCCGGCGTTCCCCCTCCGGCATCCTGGGCAGCCGTCTTCCCCACGCCCGACTGGCAGTGCCGGCCGTTGAACCTGGGGCCTTCTGCGTGCAGCCGGGCTTGCCCAGCGAAAGGCAGTGCCATAGTCGAAGCCAGGGCCCCCTGCTCACCCACCGCCTGGGGGTCCGCCGGGGCTCCTTGCCTCCCGCCCCGGCCCACGGCTGCGGCACCTCGGCAGCCGCGAGGGCCCCCGAGGCTGCCCGCCCGTTCCTCTGCGCACGAAGGCCCCGCTCCGCCTCTGACGCCCGAGGTCCCTCCCTCTCTTCCCAGACAATTACTTTGCGGAAGACCCCAAGTTCAGCCTCTGCTACTGCGAGTCGTGCCACAAGCTCCGGGGCGACGAGGCCTATTACAAGCGCGGGGAGCCCCCCCGCGACTACGCCTTGCCGTTTGGATGGTGCCGCTTCAACCTCAGGTGCGGGCGGGGTTGGGGTTGCAGCGGGGCGGGGGGGGACGTGGCCCGCCTCGGCCCCGGGGAGCGCTCCCTCCGCCTGCCAGGGCCCGGACGGGGCCCTCCGCCTGCCATCGCCCCCTTTCTCCCCGCAGGGTGAACCCGCAGCTGGAGGTGGCCAGCACGTCCAAGAAGTGGCACATCGCCTATCACGGGACGAACGTCGGGGCCGTGCGACGCACGTTGGACCAGGGAGAGCTGGTGCCAGGCAAGTCCTCGAGCCCCCCCCCCCCCCCCCCCGGCCAAGAGGCCTTCCGGCCGTCTGCTGGGGCAGAGGAGCTGCTCCTCGGGGCTGCCCCGGGGACCCCGATCAGCCCTCTGGGGCAAGCTGGGTGGCCTGGCTTCTGAGCATTTCCCCCCACCCTTCTCAAAGAGCCCCCCTCAGGCTTCAGCATCAGCATAAGTGTTTTAAACTAAGCTGTACTGGAAGTGGGTTTTTTGGCTCTCCTCTGGAACTGGATTCAGCTCTCGGGCGGGAAGAGGCTCCGTGCTCTTGGCCCCGTGGACAGCTGCCCCTCCTTTCCAGAAAGCCCCCCTTGTGCGGTGAGGACAGCTGGGCTGTGTGCTGGCCTCCCCCAACCCGGTATCACCAGGTGTGTTGGTCTGCCTGTCCCAGAAAGAGCTGCCCGGAGCCTTCTGGGAATCGTAGTCCCGTGCATCCTGAGGACGCCAGGCTGGTTCCTGCAAAGAGGCAGCTGCCCCCGCGTTGCCTCCTGCGTCCGCCCCCCCCCCCCCCCCCCCGCCTCTCACAGGCCACGGAACCCAAGATCCAGTGGTCCCGCTCCAAGGATCCAAGGCTGGCGGGAGGCGATGGCAAGGGACCCGGGGCTCCGATCAGCAGCGGAGCATCAGGTGGCACCTTGAGCAGAGGCCGAGCGGGCCAAGCACCCATGGCCACTGCCAGTCCCGAGTGCCACGTTCCCTCTTCCAACGGTGCGGCCTGGGTGTTCGGTTTCACAGTAGGAGTGTGTGAGCTTGCAGGAGCCGCTGGTCAGGGAATGGAGCCGCACCGGGGGCGTGCGGGGACAGGAGGTCTCCCCCTCTCCTGCTTCCGGAAGCTTTGGCTGGCTCTCGGGGGCAGCCCTGGCTGGGACGCACGGATCCTTTGGAAAACCTGTCCTGGGGCAGCCGCTTCTGACGGGGCAGTCAGATCGCTGGCCCTTGGGGTCCCCGGAAGATGGAGGCCCGGGGCAGCGGCACTGATGCCATCGTGAACCCCAGCCGTGTGGGCCGCAGGACCTGCCACCAACGCACAGGCCGGCTGATTGCAGCAGAGGAAGCAAGAGCCGGAGCGGGAAATTGCAGGGTGGACATTCTGTTCTATTTTAAAACTCAGTTTAAAAGACATGCGACAAAATAAAAACACCAACGCACAACCTCCCTGCAAAGTTTAGAAAGTTGTGCATTAAAGGCTGCGTTAAATGACAGTTCAGCAGAACGACAAGGGACTGCGGACGGTCAGGGGCGAACTCACAGATTCCGTCCTTCGTTCGCGGTGGCCAGGTGGCTCCAGGGCCCTCAGCGCAGGAGACGAGGATAATTCATGCTCTTGGCTTCTTCCTGCCGGGTTTTTGGTGGGCCCCTTTCAGCTCGCTGGCTTGTCATTCCACAGCTTCGTTGCATCCCATGTTGTGCACTATTTCCTATGGTTTTTTTGGAAACGACAACCGCTGAAGGGGTTTGGATGTGCAAGTCAAATTACTGGAGTCCGGGCAGTCAGGCCTGGGCGATGAGCAGGGACCATTCGCGGCGGCTGTGGCATCTCTCCCTCTGTTCCTCCCTCAGCAGGAAGCGCATCCATCCTGAGCTGCTGCCCCGTCAAAGCAGACCCGCAGGGTGGCGGCGGCGGCGGCAGCGGAGGCGGCGGCGGCAGCGGAGAGTACCACGAGCCGGAGGAGAACAGCTCGCAGGGCCACGGGGAGTCCCAGCGGCTGCTCCTGTCGCCCACACTGCGCTATGCCGGGCTGGAGCCCTTCGCCACCAAAGTGCAGTAGGTCTCCCGGGCCGTGGGCAGGCCGGGGGGGGGACGGGGGGGTCCTGTCCTGCCTCCCGCCCAGCGGGCCCTGCAGCAGCTTGCGGGAGGTGGGCGTCGGGCGGAGCGGCCGCCTGGGCGAGCGGAACGGCGTGAGGATGCTCCCGAGGCCGACGGGGGAAGGCACCCCCGAGGGCACCCTCCTGGACCGGCCTGTACGGGCCGCCAGCAGAGCGGCGTTTCAGAGGGGCTTGTTCCTGGGGGGGGCCAGGGGGGCCCACATGGGGGCCTGGAGCCCCTTCTCCCTCTTGCGACTGCAGGCCCCCTGCTGCCCCGATCCGCGGCTTGGCCGCTTCTCAGGAAATGCGTGCGCCTCCTCTTGCAGATTCAAAGACCCAAAGTCTCACCGGCAGCACGCCGCCCAGCTCGCCTTCCAGGTGTGTGTGCGCCCCGGGTCCTACAAGGTGTGCGCCCAGTCCCTGGCGGCCCCCGAGCCCCTGGACCCCCGCTTCAGCAGTGCCGAAATCGAGTGGGTCACCAAGGAGAAAGGTGCTACTGTCCTGCACGGCCTGCTCATCCGCGTGGAGTGAGACCTCGTGGCCACCCTCCCGGGGAGGCGCCAGGGGCACCACGACGCCACAAGACGGTGGGGAAGGCGGCTCCTGCCGGAAAGACCCTCCTCCGCGACCCACCCTTCCACGCACAGACCGGGTGGCGCTCGCGAGCCCGAGAGGGTCGGCGGCTGCGACCAGCAGGCACGAGGGACTGGAAGGGACCGCCCAAGGCGGGGCGGGGGCGCGCCTCCCCCAGCGGCCCCCCGGGCGGCTTCCCTTTCCCTTCTTTTTTCTTTTGCACAGAGGCAAGACGAGCTAAAGGGGGAGGGTTCGGGCGTGCTGAGCGGAGCCGTGGTATTTCAGAGCATGGGGAGGGGACTTCGTCGCCGCAAAAGGACCTTGCTGAACTTTGGACTCGGGGGTCTTTCTGGAACACCCAGGGCCTCCTGTACTGACTCCACTGCCTGCAGTGATGCCGTCGGGACTGGGGAGCGTGCGTTGGGGCGAGGGGGGGAACGGCCGGCGCGGCTCCCGTTTTTCACGGAAGGCAGGCTGCCCCGGCAGGGGTAGACTTTCCGGCACGCCGGCCGCTTGGAGCCGAATTGGCCGGCTGTGGAGGGGCAGAGGGGCGGCCCCGCCAAGCTTCCTGGAGGGCCAGATTTGGATCATTTCTACTTTTTGTGAGTGGGTGGAGTATCTTGGTATGTATGGGTGTTTCTAGCCTGTCTGTGTCGGGGCCCGGTTCTTCGCGGAGGGTCCTTTTTTCACCTCCGCTCTGCCCCTTGCTCAGCCTTCAGGACCAGTCCTGTAGAGTCCCCACCAGGCCTTGGACAGTGGGGGGGGGGGGGATGCTGTGTTGTGCTTGCGTGTGTTTAATCCATGCAGCCCCCTGGAAGACCCGAAGCAGGAGACGGGCGGACTCTCGGCCCCACATCTCTGTACTCAAAGGAACTCAAAAGACGTCACTTTCTCCCAGCTGTGGTCACCCCTGCAGACCCTGCCCGCTCCGGCCCACCCAGGACAAGCCACTGCTGCAGCCCGCTTTTCATGCGATTACTTTTTCCCCGCCTCCTCCCCATCCCTTATTTATTTATACCTGTGTTGGTTGTCCAAAAAATGTGAATTTTTAAGGGGAACGGGGGTTTCGAACACCCCCTCTCCTCCCTTTGATTAATATTATATTTTAAATTGTATTTATGCTGCTTTTTCACTTTATCTGTTGGAAAATGACATGCATTAACTTTTTTACATCTGTCTGAAGCCGAGTTCTGTTTTTGTTTTTTGGACAAAAGTTGTGAGGTTGTACAGCGCGTTCCCTCCCTCGCAGGGGTTGATAAACCACCGTTCGACTGGCCTCCCGT